TTCCCGCTCTGCCCTGCACCCCCGTTTCCTCCCCGCCGCGCCCCCAGATCAAGTCTGTCGGCACCACCGCCTACATCGTGAAGCCCAACATCAGGGCCGGCGCTGGCCTGGTGCACATGATCAACAACGTCCTGGTGGGTGGCGCGACAACTCTGCCTGATTTGTTCACGATGTGCAAAACGAGTGCCCTGAACTCTCACCAGTGCAAGCTGATAGCAGCTACTATGCGCACGCCAGACCGCCGCGCGTGATCAAGTCACTGTACGACCTGTGGTGCGGTATAGATGGCTGCTCAGCAGCCTGATGAGGTGAAACCTTGCAAAGGCTGCTGAATGCCGGCCCGTTCAGGCGCCTTTCCCTGCTTTGACTCTCCTGTTCTGTCCGCTCTGTCCTCCTGTGCTTGCGCCTCCCGCAGGTGCCCATGAACCTCAACAACATCCCCCGCTTCTAAGCCAGCAGCACAGGCGGCCCCTGCCACAGCCGGCCGCTGCTTGCTCAAACCCGCGGCGATCGGGCGCGCGCGCGCCCTCTGCGCGCGCGCGTTCTCTGACGCGCCAGCACCTGATCCCGAACCCGAGCACTTATATATGCATGGTTTGAAAAGGATAGTCTTCCAATAAACTACGCAAACCAGCACGCGAGGCACATCTTGCCCGCAGAACCCAGCCGTTGTCGTGGCGCCCCCACCAAACCAGCTGTTGCCTTGCAGTTCCCATCACAGTCTTGACCCCAGTATTTGCTGCCCGTGCCCCGTCGGCCCACACCATCCCTCAATCATGACGTGCACCTGCGCGCATCCAACCGGCTTTTATTAGTGTTTTGCTGCTAGCGCTCGGGAGGCTCGCCATCCGTGGGCCGTCTCTTGCACCACACCTTACCACATCGCATGTGCTGGCCGCGGCAAGTCCACGGCTCGATTTCGACCCCGCGCACTCCGCCTTCCGCCATCTGCGGGGGTAACTGGGTCGCTCGTCAACCCGCTGCTCGTGAGCGCATCACTCAGGGGTTCAGGTTCATAGCTCCATGTAGGCAGTCGTGTAAACCCTTGGAGTAATCGTTCAGGCCCGGTGAATCAAATCAGATAGGCAATCCTGGAATTGCTTGTGAACGGCTAACTGCAATGCACTTGGGTGCGGCGCGCGAGCTCGCATCCTTGGACATCCGGATCTAGAGAAACACACACAGGGTGGGGTGAGTGCCTGAATGCCCGTGGGGGAGTCCCAGCAACTCCAACAATTGCGCACCCGCGCCCAGCTGGGCAGGATCTGGGGCAATCTCTGCTCGCACAGCGTGCGCCCGCAGCTGCTTCATCCTCGTTTGTTATGCCCGGGCAAGCTTACTTAATAAGCAGGTAGTAACCAACTGCGCCTAGGTCTCGCTGCCACCGGCGGTAACATTGGGGCCCCTGCACTGTTGCGCCTGGAGCGACGGACGCCATAATCCCCTTGCTGCCTGCAAGACCGCGCCTTGGAGGATTTTCTATCTCACTTATGTGTTATGTTGAAGGCGGGTGCATTGACACCATAAGTCGTGTTCCCCGTGCCCCCGCCCTGCGGCCCCGTCCAACCACCGCCACCAGTCGGCAGATCTAGCAGTCCGCCTGCCTCTGGTAATCAGACCTCAGCAGCGGCGCCATTGCCGACAACGGTTGGTGCCAGCTGCTGCCCCTGATCCTGCTCCTGCTGCTCCTGCTGCTCCTGCTGCTCCTGCTGCTCCTGCTGCTCCTGCTGCTCCTGCTGCTCCTGCTGCTCCTGCTGCTCCTGCTGCTCCTGCTGCTCCTGCTGCTGCTGTGATGGCGTCATGCCGCCCTCCAAACTAGACATCACCGGCCTCGCCTGCGCCTCGGTCGAGGCTGGCGCTCCATCGGCTGCCTCGCACTCATCGGCAAAGCCGCGCAGGGCGTCGTTGCGCTCGCGCCGCAGCGCCTCGCAGCGCTCTTGTGCGTCGGCGATGGCGGCCTTGATCTTCGCATTGCGGGCCTGGGTTTGGAGCACATGCAGACCAAGGCGCAACATCGTTTTGCATGTGCACATGCAAAACAATGATGATCAACACACGTGTGTTGATCAGCACGGGGCTTTACGGCTGTTGGGGGTCTGGACCATGAGAGTCAGGGGGTCAAGAGGCTGCTGGCCGCACGTGCAGGTGCGCAAGCGTCCTGAAGTAAGAAACCGCAGCGCGCCGGCGTGTGTCCGCACCTGCGCCTCCTGCAGCGCCGCCTGCTTGCGGCGGACGCCAGAGAGCGCCGCCTCGCGCTGCGCGAGGGCCGCCTCGCGCGCCTGCCGCGCCTCCTCGCGTGCCGTCTGGGCCTGGTCCAAAGCCTGCGTTGGTTTAATTACATGGGTATGAGTATGGGCAAGGCGTGAACTGAAATCATGATGATGATTGCTGGCTGGCTCCACAGAGGCGCACCGCGACAAAGCGCAGCTGTGCTTCACGCGCCGTGATGCAGCTGAACTTTCTCGCCTTGTCAATTTTAGGCTTCTCCTCTTTAAGATTCTTTATTTTTGCGTCTGTGGCGCCGTACGAGGTGGTCAGCACGCCCAATAGATCATCCGCCTGTGCAGCCTTGTTCGTTTCAGAGATATCACCTGTTTGCTCCAACTGTTTGTCAAACCCGATTATGGTACGCTCGATCTTCTCCCTGTCCATCGTGTGGATCTCGACTTTCGATGCGGCGTCGACAGGATACGGTAGCTGACCTGAGAGGCGATTGTTTACACGGGAGGTTGTTCAGCACAATCACAGAACCTCTGATGTTCCGTCGCCACTGTTAAGTGCAGCGACGATGACACCCCCATGTGTGTTGGCCAGCTTGTTTGTCTTCTGCGGGCACGCAGCACAACAGTGCGCAGCTGCCCACTAAGCTGCCACTCCCTCTAGCAGGCACCACACACTCACATTCCAATATTCTTGAGTGCCTTGTCGCCCCAATACTGTCTTGCCCCACTGCAAGGCTGCCCAACTGCCACGGCCGCGCGCTCCCAGTCAACGGGCCCGATCCCCTGTGCAGGCTTACTCTCCAGTGCCTTGAAAATCCAGAGCAAAGGCAAAGTGTTACAAGCTGCTGCGACTGCCAGATCCATCGTTGGAGTGATGCAGCGTACTGAACAAGCGTGATTGCCAGCGTGCTCCCATGATCCATAAGGTCATGCGTTCAAAGGCAGCATGGGCGGGGCCCCGCATGCGCAGGGGTGCGTATTGGATTTTGAAAGCCCTTCTTGTGGGCATGGAGTGTACAACCGACAAGCCTCCTGCTTTGCCATGCAGCGGCATCATGGGCATGGCACACGCGCCAAAGCAGGGGTCGGAGCCAGCCCTGAGTCAAAGGTGCAAGGTCGCAAAAGTCGTGCAGTCCAAGGCAACAACACACCGGTTTTGAGGGGTACAAACCGCCGCAACTCCTTGGCGCAACACGTCAGCGTCGGGGCAGGCGCTTCGCCGGCCCGCTGGCCATCCGAGGAAGACAGGGAGTGAGAACCATACCATAGTGTACAGGGAAGGATGAATTGAGAGCTGATGTTTCAGCTAAAACACGACACGGCAAGAGTTGCATGCCAAACACATCGAGCGTGGTCAGCGGCCTTGCGCCGCCACCGGTGATATAAGCCGCGGCGTGGACGGCGTCCACGCGCCTTCGGTCAAGCTGGCCGCCGGCCTTGCGGGCCGCTGCGTGCAGGGTCAAAGCTTCAGATGCGAAGACAAGTACAGGACTCTCGGCGCCCTCGGCAGCGCACGAGCCAGAGCAGGGGCAAAGCCTGGCCACTGCAGAGCTTCCCCTTGCAAGGGGGGCGGCAGCTGCGTCGCTGCCGCGGTGCGAAAAGAATGGCACACGCACACGCGCGCTTTCGTGTGCGCGGAGAGGAGCAATGACGCCATGCGCGCACGAGCGCGCACCCGCCGCTGCTCCATTGAGGGGACGATGCAGCAGGGGACGAGGGCCAGGGCCCCACAGGTCCACCCTGGGCGCAAAGCCGACGCGGCCGGGCGGCCATGCAGGCCGCAACAAAACGCGCCTCTAACGACGCCCTTGCGGCAGACCGGCCCGGCGCTCCCGCGTGGCCGGCCGACGGCCGGGCAGCCCTCGTCCACACCCACTGCGTGGCCTTGACGGGTTTCAAACAGGCCCCCTTTTTCCGGAGCCGCACACCTAAAAACGTCGCCCACGGCGAAGCGCCCCGGCGGCGTGCCCTCACCACCAGCCCAGCACCTTCCACCAGGCCATCCCCGCGGTGCCCCACAGCGCCAGCGCCGCGGCGCCGCAGACGGCGCCGCAGTAGAAGACCTCCTTGAGGCTGAGGTAGCCGGAGCCGACGTACACGGCGGCCTGGCCAGAGGCGTAGTGCGTGAGGGAGCCGAAGAGGCAGACGCAGTAGGCCAGGGACATGGCCGCGAGCTTGGGGGGCACGCCTGGGGGGTGGTGGTCGAATTCATATCGCGGGGTGCACGATTTGCGGTGTGGGTTGAGTTCGAGGCTGGTTTGGGTGAGGAGGTGGGTCGTGCGGGTGGGGTCGTATTGGGTGCAGGTCGGGTTGAGCAAGGGGATGAGACCAGATGGGGGACATGCGGGGCCACGCAGTACAGGTGGCTGGAGATGAAGCGGGTTCTAGGGTTTCAGGGAGTGCATGGCGATCCCAGGGGAGTTGCCCCTCCCATGCAACCGGCCCCCCGGCCATGGCCGCCCCCCGCCCACGCACCGCCCGCGAGCATGAGCGAGAGGAACGCCGTGTAGAGCGCCCCCGTGTGCGCGGTCTGGGAGGCGAATAGGTAGTGCAGGGTGAAGAACTGGAGGTGCAGGGCGGCGAAGAGCAGGGGCCAGGGCAGGTGGAGGGCGTCCATCTGGGCCGAGGCCCAGCCCGTGAAGGCCCCTATGACGCCGTGGTCCTGGAGGGACAGGCTCATGGAGATGAGGACTGGGAGGGGG